GGGAGATATGATTGCTCTCTTTAAATATATTAGAGGGATAAATACCAGGGAGGGAGAGGAATTATTTAAGTTTAATACCAATGTGGACACAAGAACAAATGGATATAAACTGGCTAGTAGGAAGTTTAGACTTGAGATTAGACAAAGGTTTCTAACCATTAGAGGAGTGAGGTTCTGGAACGGCCTTCCAAGGGAAGTAGTGGGGGCAAAAGATCTATCTGGTTTCAAGATTAAACTAGATGGGTTTATGAAGGGGATGGTTTGATGAGATAACATGATCTTGGTAACTAATTGACCATTCATTATCAGTGGGAAATAGGTCAATGGAGGGATGATAGGAGTTGTTATAGAGAACTTTCTGGGTGTCTGGCTGATGAGTCTTGCCCACATGCTCAGGGCTGATCGCCATATTGGGTTGGGAAGGAATTTTCCTCCAGGGTAGATTGGCAGAGGCCCTGGAGGTTTTTCGCCTTCCTCTGTAGCATGGGGTACAGATCACAGCTAGAGGATTCTCTGCATCTTCGGGTCTTCAAAGTATTTGAAGGCTTCAATATCTGAGATATAAGTGAGAGGATTATTCTAGGAGGGGTGGGTGAAATTTTGTGGCCTGCACTGTGCAGGGGGTCAGACTAGATGATCATAATGGTCCCTTCTGACCTTAAAGTCTATGAGTCTACCGAGCAAATGCTCCATATCAACGTTTTAGAACCGAGAGTGGTGAGGCATTTCCTGTACCATATAGCTTGCAAGATGATCAGCATTGTGATGGACAATACTACTTACATGTATTACATCAATCGGCAAGGCGGTGCATGATCTCCGTCCCTATGTATGGAAGCTCTCAAACTATGGAATTGATGCCTGGTGCACCATATTACCCCTGCAGCCACTTACCTCCCAGGAATGTTAAATGTCATGGCAGACACCCTCAGTTGCAAGTTCTATGACCACCACGAATGGGAAATAGACACACAGGCCCTGAGTTGCATATTTCATCTCTGGGGCCAACTAGACACAGACCTTTTCACAACCAGGGCCAACCACAAATGCCGCCTCTACTGTTCCAGAGTAGCCCTAGGGAAGCACTCACTTGGGGATGCTTTCTCCATCAAATGGGACACACCGTTACTCTACGCCCGTGGTCCCCAACACGGTGCCCGCGGGCGCCATGGCGCCTGCGGGAGCATTTCCATGCGCCCGCCAGGTGCTCGGGGCTGGCATGGCCCCGGGCACATGGCGCACGGTGAGCGCCGGCCCCAGGAGCGCTGCAGATTGGCCACCCATGCTCTGGGCGTGCGGCGCATGGGGAGAGCGCCGGCCCTGGGCGCGTGGCACATGGGGAGGAGGGCGCTGGCCCCGGGCATGCGGTGCTTGGGGGGGGCG